AAGAATCAGAAGAATAGAATTTAAATTTGAAGGTGAATGGAAGAATAACATTTGGTAATAAGTTGTTGCTCCCTCGTGCCAAGCGTCATCTTTCTACTCTCTCTTTACGTCTCACATGCAAATTTCTCTCTAATTCCCTTTTTCACCCCATACTTTTCAATTCTTTCAATTTCAACCCTGTCCCACCAAATCCCAACCAAAAACTCTCGTATATAGTATTAATTAAGTCATTAAACAAAACATTTGCAAAATTAATTTGAAGTTCTTGTTTGTGATTCACCAGAGATCTTTACAAGAACATTTTCCATTAACAAAACGATGAAACCCTGAAGTGTCTCTCAAAACTATCTCTCTCTTTACCACAACAGAAACGTATTTGAAGAACTCGTGACAGTCACCACAAAGCATCACGTTCTTCACAACTCGAACCGGCTTTCCCCGAGTATTGCTCGTGAGAATGCCGTAAGTCACGGCGAGTTTCGCGCTGTGGTAAAATAAGAAGCTCTTCTTCGTAAACTCATCCACTTCCTGAAGAACAAATTCTGTGTTTGGTTCGTATCCAGCCTTTAGACATTCCATTATCAGTATCTCTAATCCGCCGTATATGTCTTTCTCTTGCGGATGGGATGTGTCACGCGCGTGAAAGGAATGTACTTTGTTCTCGTGGATTATCCAGCTTCTAGATGGATGTTTCCGGTAGCCTCTTTCCCGCATTTCCTCTCTTATCATCTCAGAGCGATGCCAAAGTCCGGAAGATGAGTAGATGTTGGATTTGAGGATGTATTCAGACGGGTTATCAGGTTTTGTCGATAGTATAAGCTTTGCTACGCGTTTTGCAATGGTTGTGTTTGAACGGACTCTGCATCTATCGAGCAGAGCTCTCAAAACAGAGACCTCGGGCTGAAACGGCATTGAGTTTACTGTGTCTTCCGCTTCTTCAAGGAGTCCCCAATGACCCAGAACACCGACGAATGCAGTGTAATGTTCAGTTGTTGGTTCAATGCCATAGATAGTCTTCATGGAGAAAAACAGATCGCGACAGCTACTAAGCTTAATTGACTCTGTATACCGATATGCGGATATAACAAGAGTGAGGGTGATCGTATCAGGCTTGATACTTTCCTCATTCATCCTCGACCACAGAGCTAGCGCCTCGTCACCATTTCTTTGAAGAATGTAGCAAGAAATCAAGCTGTTCCAAGAAACAACATCGTGTTTTTGCATAGTGTTGAAAACCTTGATGGCATCATCGAAGCGGCAGCATTTCGAGTACATGCTAATCAAAGAATTCCCCAAGCCTAAATCAGAAAAGTACCCACCTTTAAGAGCATGACCATAGATCTGATCACCCATTTCTCGAAAGCCTAATGTCCCGCAGACCGAAAGGATCAAAGTCAATGAAACTTCATCTAAAACCAACTTCTCTTCACAGAGAGTGCGATAAAACAGAGATAAAGCCTTATCAGGTAAGCCATTCCGAGTGTAACCACCGAGTATCGACGTCGTTGCCTTCGAGCTATCCAAATTAGAAGGCCATAGGTCAAACATCTCCTCAGCATCTGCCATCCTATCACACCTTGTGCACATATCAAGCAATGCTGTCTGGATACATGGGTTTGAAGCACATCCAAACTTTATACAAAAGCCGTGAATCTGCTCGCTTACTTTCTTCTCTGAAACTAAACCACAAGCGTCCACCGCGCTTGTTAAACTGAAATCCGTCAACGCAACACCTCTCTGCAGCATTACAGTGAACAATTCTAGTGCCTTCAAGCCATGGCCGTTTCTACAGAACCCAGCCATTAGAGCGTTATAAGTAATAATGTTTTTGTCAGCCATCTTCTCAAACATCTCAACAACGGAATCCACCATTCCAAACGCCATGTAAGCTGTGATCATCTCCGTCAAAGTAAATCCATCTCTGACATTCATCATCTCATACAAATTCTCAACCTTTTTAATATCCCCACATTTAGCATAAAACCCAATTAGAGCATTATTCACACTCAGTTCCTGCATTAGCCCTACTTTAATTGCACGAGCATGAAGTTCTTTACCTCTCATTGAGTCATTGGAATCAGTACAAGAGCTCAAAAGCGTTGAAATCGTAAAGCAATCAACCTTAAGTCCTTTGACTATGTTCATCTCATGAAACAAATCGAAAGCTTTATCAGACATGCCTTCTTTCACCAAACTCGAAATCACAGTGTTCCACGAAACTAAATCTCTCTGAGGAATTTCATCAAACAACTTAAGCACATCATCACTCGAAGAACCAGGAAGCTTTGCATACAAACTCATAACCGAATTACCAACATACACAAAATTCATAAACCCTGATTTGACAATCAAACCATGAATCTGAACACCGAGTGAGAATCGACAAAATCTCACGCAAGCAGTCAAAATCGCGACAAAAGTATACTCATTCGGCTGAATAATACCTTCGTTTCTCATCCTGAAGAAAACCTTAAGGGCCTTGATTTCAAGGTTTAATCTTGCGAAACCTGAGATTAGATCTGTGTAAGAAACCACAGTTGGTGAAGACAACGACTCGAATGCGAGAAAAGCATCTCGAGGGAAACCTAGCTTGAGATAAGTGGAGATTAGGGCATTTCCAAGATTGGTTTTTTCTTCTCTGAGCTTTAGAAACGAAGCGTGTACGGCTTTTGTTACCTCGATGTCGTGGAATTTAGCGGACAAACGAAGTAGAGAGAAAAACCCATCAACGACAGATTCAATCTCTTCCCTTTC